CATCAGATATTGTCCAAGATTAACCTTCAGGGTGGATATAGCTCGCTAGCAGCCTCGCACCGAGGACCTATCCACGTCATCATTTACTCGGAATGCTTTGTGTGTAAATAAAATGGCTCCGTCTGTGTTAAAATATACAAAACTAAACAACCTACAATATTTTTAGTCTTTATTTTACAGTTAAAATAAATGTTTATCAAATAAAGTTTTATGTTACAACTAATCAGGGATCCCTTTAAAAACAGAAATGCAATCATTATGAGAGCTGCACAATATATAAGTATTTCAGAGGACCACAGTCAGTAACTTATAGTTCTGTCCGTTCACATGCATGGTAATAATTAATTCCAACAAACTGTCAGTGCCCTCTGGTAAAAATAATACTAATAATAATTTGCAGAATGTATTGTATGATGAATAAAAAGAAAGATGCAAAACTTGATTTCTACTTAAACTTTTGTGCAACATTTACCTGAAACTGAAGCTAACCCTGTGTTCATGTATTGCTGCAGGGTGGACAAGGAGGATGAGATGACCAGCCTCATCAAGGGCTGCAATTTTGTGCTGAAGAACATACCACACGAGGCGTTCGTGTACGCCAAGCATGCTGACTCAGAGTTTCGCTTTCAGACGACTAATCCAGACATCTTCCCCTACCTGCTTGTAAACATCGGCTCCGGGGTGTCCATCGTTAAGGTAATGATTAATAATCAGGGTTTTGTTGGTTGTTGACGGAGGTAGCGGACACGGATGTAATTATCGTTAATAATTTGCAGAGTTGGTGCTGTTTTTTTTTTTAAAGATATTGTTGATGGAGAAAAGTACATCTTGAACTCTCTGTGACTTGTGCTTGAAATGTATTTTTTTAATGAGTCACCTTTTATTTTCAATCTCTATTAGGTTGAATCAGAAGATAAATTTGAGCGAATAGGAGGAAGCTCGATAGGAGGAGGAACATTCTGGGGTCTTGGCGCTTTGCTTACCAAAACAAAGGTATCTTAAAGGGGCAATATTATGTGTTTCTCAGGCATACATTTAAATACTATACCATAATAAAGTATCTATGTCACCTTTAGCTGTTATTAAAATG